CGCTGCGCGCCCTGGCCGCCGCCGAGCGCGAGTACACAGGTGGGCGGGGGCGGGGGGGCGCCGGGGGGGCCGGGGGCGCGGGGGGGGGGAATCCCCCGACCCAGCCTGAGCGCGTCCCCGCCCTGCAGTGCAGCGGAATATGCTGGATTTCCCGCAACACGTGTCCCCCAGCCGGGAGGTCCGCACCGCCAGCACCGAGGCAGACAAGCAGCTCTCGGAGTTCGACGTGGAGACCAGCATGCGGCAGGACGTCTACCAGCGGATCACCTGGCTGCAGGTCAGTTGGCCGCCTCTGCCGGTTCCCTGCCCCCCTCGGCCCTCCCTGGCTTCTGGCAGAACCAGGCAGGAGCCCAGACCTGCCCGCCTGCCCAGACCGGACGGGGCGGTTTGTGTGGCTCCAAGGCTGAGTCGAGAGCCCTCGGCCAGTGGAGAAGGCCCTAGCGACAGAGCCCGCCTCGCACCCACATCTGCAGGGGAGCCTCCGAGGGCCCCCCTGCTCCAAACTCCGCCCCCAGCGCCCCCCTCCCCCCCCCGTTTCTGGCCCTCATGGCTCCCTTAGCTGCTTCCTACTCAGCTTTTTTCACGCCCAGCGTGTCAGCGGGCACTGCGGACCCGGCCACCTCGGGGCCAGAGGCTGGCAGCCACTAGGAAGAGCCCCAGGTGGGCCCGGGCGTGTGAGGCTGCCTGCTCTGTCAGAGACCCCTTTCCTTCCCCAGGAGAAGCTGGACGGCGCTTCCCTAAAGCCGGAAGCCAAGCGCTACTTGGAAAGGCTGGTCAAGCTGGGCCAACGGAGCGGCCTCCACCTGGCCAGGGAGGTTCAGGAGGTGAGCAGGCTGCCCTCTGCACGCAGACCAAGGGACAGCCTGTGGCTGCGATCCCTGGCGAGCCTGGCCGGGGGGGGGCTGGATCTCTGCCGGGGGTCCCCGGGCTGCTCACGGTCGTTTCCTCGCTTTCTCAGAAAATCAAGGAGATTAAGAAGCAGCTGAGCGTGCTGTGCATCGACTTCAGCAAAAACCTCAACGAAGACGCCACTTTCCTGGCTTTTACCAGGGAGGAGCTGGGTGAGGCTGCGGCGGGGGAGGCCTGGCAGCCATCGTGGGGAGAAGAGTCTGGCCCTTGGCCGTGGCCCTCTGGGGTGCCACGTTTTCCCCTCAAAAGAGGGCTGGGAGCCACGTTGCGGCCCTGTCAAGGAGAAGAATTAGTCCAAGGAAGGTTTCTTGCAGGCTTAGCGTAAACCTGTGTCTGTCGGTAAAGCCGACGATGTCAGCTGAGCATCTTGTAAACTTCAACAGTCTAGCCCTGATGGTTTTTCCCTGGTTTGGTAATGAAACATCTTCAAGAAAACAGCCAAGCTCAGAGAGCACCAAGGACCCCCCCACCCCCAGTTGACCCCTGAGCTACAGAGATTCTCTTTTGTGACCCTCCCCTGATTCCTCTCCCTTCCTTCCTTCCTTCCTTCCTTCCCCCTCTGGCTTCCGATGGGAGGTTGGGCCTGCTGCTTCCTGGGCCTGGAATCTCTTCCTCCTGTCCCCCCCCCCTCCCTGCTGCTTTTCCCTGCTCAAGCAGCCAAAAGGCGGGTGGCCTCCCTGCCAGGCCTCTGGCTGGCCCGGAAAGAGCGCAGGAGGCCCAGGAGATTGCCGGTCGTCTCTGCTGTAGCGGGAGGCTCTCCGGGCGCTTCTCATCCCCTCTGCCTGTGAGGAGCCCCTCCTGGGACCCTTGGAGCAGTGCAGCTGGGCTGCCTTTGTGGGGGGGGTCCTCCTCCTCCTCCTCCAGCCCTGGAGTGCTGGCAGCCCCTGTTCAGTGCGCTTCTCCTGACCCAGCTGTAACAGGTCGGGACCCAAAGTCACGCAGCTGGGGGAAACGGGGGGTGGGGGGCTTATAGAAGGAACTGCGCCCACGGCCTTCAGCCGGCCTGGTGAGAAAAGGTTCTCGTCGTGAATCACGGAGGCGCACCAGGGCCCGGTTCTGGGCTTTCTCCGGGCGGGCGGGCGGGTGGGTGGCTGCTCTTAGCCCGGCCTGGGGGCGCTGCGCAGAGCTTGGCGCGCCTAGCAGGGCTCCCTCTTCTCCCCTCCAGGGGGGCTCCCCGAGGATTTCCTGAAGTCCCTGGAGAAGGCGGAGGACGGCAAGCTGAAGGTCAGCCTCAAGTACCCCCATTACTTTCCCCTGATGAAGAAGTGCCACGTGCCCGAGACCCGGAAGCGGATGGAGGAGCGCTTCAACTCCCGCTGCAAAGAGGTATGGGGGAGGGGGCAGCGGGTCCCCTTCCCTGCACACACGCTGGGAAGGGGCAGAGTTCCACCACCTGGAGGCTGAGCCTGCTTCCTCTCCCCCCCCCCGAACGGCACAGGAGAACTGCCGGATCCTCCAGCAGCTGGTGGAGCTGCGGGCCCAGAAGTCGGCGCTCCTGGGGTTCGAGACGCACGCGGCCTTCGTGCTGGAGATGAACATGGCCAAGGACTGCAAGACGGTGGCAGACTTCCTGGGTGAGGCCAGGGAGAGCCTGGCGAGGGCTGCAGGGGGCCAGCGAGGAGCGGTCAGCAGAGAGACGGGGGGGGCGAGGCAACGAGGCGCCTTGCCTGCCTTGGCATCTTCTGGCTGCTCAGGGATTGAGGACTCCGTTCTCCAGGGATGCGTTGAGCTCCTACCTCAGGGCATCTCCGGGGGTCGTGTCTGCTGGGGTTGGGGGAATAAAGGGGAAATGGCTTATAGGTTGAAATTCGGAAGGGGCTGTGACTGCGGGTTGGAGGGTCCTCTGAGCAGAAAGGAGACTCGGCTGCAGTGGCCAGAAAGCCCCCCCCCAGGAGGCCTTGGCAGGGGCTCCCCTTCTATGCCGGCTGGAGGGGCCAAGCCTGGGCACCCGCGGGCGGTCCCTGCTCACTTCCCGGGCTCCCTGCAGATGAGCTGGCAGCCAAGCTGAAGCCGCTGGGCGAGAAGGAGCGGGCGGTGGTCCTGAGCCTGAAGCAGAGGGAGTGCGAGCAGCGGGCGCTGCC